ATCCCATCCCCCCATCACCCCACACACCCCCCAGCCCCCCACATCCCCCCCAGATCCCCCCACAGACCCCCAAGGAGGGCTCCCAGCGCCAGCAGCAGCCGCAGCCCCCGCTCCATCCCGGGTGGGTGCGGGGCCCCAGCCCGGGGGGTCCCCCCTTTATCCCCGCCCCACCCCCACAATTCCCTCCGGGGCGGGGTGCGGGGTGGGGGGTGGGGGGGGAGGGGCGGCGGCCCGACCCAGGAATGTGGGGCGCCCGCCCCCGCCCCCCAATTATGGGCACCCGAGGCCGCCCCACCCCCACCTCTGCCCCACTGACCCCGGCTCGGGGGGGGACCCTCCCCTCCCCCACCCCGGGTTTGGGGGATTGGGGGTTGCGCCCCATGGATTGGGGGGGAGGCTGTGCCCCACGGATTTGGGGTTTCCGTGAGTTTCCATGACCCAGACCCACGGATTTGGGGTGTCCATGACTCTGCCCCACAGATTTGGGGGTCCCTGGTGACTCTGCCCCACAGATTTGGGGGTCCCTGTGTCTCTGCCCCACGGATTTGGGGTGTCCATGACCCAGCCCCACAGATTTGGGGTTTCCATAACCAGGCCCCACAGATTTGGGGCTCTCTGCTGTCTCTGCCCCACAGATTTGGGGGTCCCTGTGTCTCTGCCCCATGGATTTGGGGCTCTCTGCTGTCTCTGCCCCACAGATTTGGGGGTCCCTGGTGACCCAGCCCCACAGATTTGGGGCTCTCTGTTGTCTCTGCCCCACAGATTTGGGGTCCCTTCCCGTCTCGGCCCCATAGATTTGGGGATCCCATAACCCAGCCCCACAGATTTGGGGTTCCTTCCCGTCTCTGCCCCATAGATTTGGGATTGCCCTAACCCGGCCCCACAGATTTGGGGGTCCCTGCTGTCTCTGCCCCACAGATTTGGGGTCCCTCCTCCCCTGGCCCCACAGATTTGGGGTTTTCGTGCCTCCCAGCCCCACAGATCGGGACCCCCCACATTCCTGCCCCACACATTTGGGGTCTCCCCCGTCCCTGCCCCACAGATTTGGGGTCTCAGCCCCACAACCCCACAGATTTGGGCTCCCCCACACCTCAGCCCCACGGATTTGGGGGTCTCTCCTGTCCCTGCCCCACACATTTGGGGTCTCCTGTCCCTCCCGCCTCGTCCCCTCCCCCTCTCCCCTCCCCCACATCCCGCTCCGCCCCTCCCCCACTCCCAGTTTCCGCTCCCACGTCCCAG